GGGTGAACTTTTTGAGACCTTTCTGGCTTGGCTATGATAATTTAAAGGCACAATTTATTCAACTTTAGGATTCAGTACGTCTTCAAAATTAAATTCTACACATTACACCAAGGTTCCGATATAATAACACTATCTACACCTTGGTGGACCAAGCAAAAAATTTAGCGCTTTGTCCTAGCGACATCTATTAGAATTCATAAATTTTCTCCCTTAGTAATGTAATGCCAACTAACCAATAGTGTTTAACGGTGACGCATTGTACATCGCAAACTAGTGTAGGCAATTGACTTTAAACGGATACTTTGTACATTTAACATGGAAAGTATGACTACGTACAAGACGGAAGCAATTACAGGTGTATTTGAGTGAAAGACATTTGTATAAAAATGGATCGGCAGTGGAAAATCGCTTATTTATCAGTTTCTTAAAGTTGTGTTTCTCCTCTTGTCTTGATAATGTAGAAACAGTATTCCAATTTGAACAACTTAATTTTGCTGTCGGATCCACTGAAATTAACAGACCAGAAGCACATAAATATTTACTCGATACGCCAAGGTATAGCTAGGTTTATCATATCAGAGCATTGGCTAGCAAAGATGAGAGGCCACAACAAAACATAAGATGCCTCGACTATATGCAGTGCATTCCCATTTCCCAGTCAGACGTCAAATTCCAGTTAAGGATGGCAAACCATTGAGGTAGGCCAAATAGCATGGTGAAAACCACAGTCGAGAAAGAAAACACAAAGAATTCGCGAAATGCAGAAGGTCATCTTATTTGTAATTTCCAAGAAGAGACATAACCGTCACGATATGCAGAATGACATTTTGTATCTAATCCCCTAGATTGTTCTGGGGAAAAATACGAGTTTCAAAACATCTAGTTACAAGTGGATTTAGAGAAATAATAGAAAAGTTGATTTCACTATGATATAGTAACCTCTTCGTGGTAGATCCATTACTTTGAGGATACGTGAAATTCCTCTTTATCGTCTTTGAGGTACAAGACGTAGAAGACATTTACTTCGTATTAGTGGGTCTAGTATGGTTCTGGTTTATGAGAGACAAATTGAAATCAGAGGGGAAGTTAACAGCATTATTCTGACGCTTTACTGTGCATCTAAGAGCGTATTGTTGGTCTGACGGTACTAATTATATGGAAGAATGGGAACCAGTCTAAAAACTGGTGAAGATACAGTAGAGTATGTATGGGTTTGGCTAACCAGGATTGGTTGATAATGAAAGTTTGATCTTAGTAGAAGAATGTTTTGAGAGCTTATCCTAGCTGAAACTGAAACAATGTTTTATTGATTAAATTTCAGTACCTATACAAATTTGATTTTTTGCAACTCATTTCTGAAATTATCACCCGATTTTTGTTTCTAAACTGAAAACACGTGTAGATCAAAAGCTGCAGCGGACATACGGTTTTCTCCATTTATTAGCTTGCATTAATATCATGGTGTTTCCATTGGTTTGCTATGAAATTAATTAGTATCGTGGGTCCAATAAAGTAGACTAGTCTATCGTTTCCAAAATGTTCTAATCACGACCTTTGCTATAGTTGAACGGAACTCAGGGTAATAGTAACTTCGAGAAGTACGAGACACGTAAGTTTTGTCATGTAAATGTACAGTAGGCGTTATCTACGAAGACGGTGTCCTTGTCCGCAAAGCTTTATCTGCTAAGTCATGGGAATTTGATGCTAATACCGGAAGGCTTTGTTCGCACGGCACAGTCTATTATCACGATAATTATTTAGAGAGCGAGCTGTCTAACGTGACACATCGTTATTTTGTCTTCACTGGTCTTTTGTAAAATAATCTGTATTGAATGTATGTGCATATGCATCATAAAAACACAAGCTATATTGAACTTTTACTATCGATTGATTCAACGAAGTTTTACGTGCAATTCTCATACTTTAATCGACTTAGAGTAAACATCGTACCGTATTATAGAAACTATCGTCAACATTGCCACCGAGAAGTGTAAATATTTTATCTTTCTTTAATAACTATTAAATAAAATATACTTGTTTCTGCACCTTTTTTAAAGCATTTAATGAGACAAACGAGTTTGCATTTTTTTTTCTTTCTCCACTGTGTGATTGTGCTTCGTGCTCACAAAATATGTTTTCTTTTAATTTTCTTATTTAGGTCTGTCAAAGCAAAGGAATGGAGAAACATTATTCGTTTTCCATTGATTGCTAACAACACAAGCGACACACTGAATGGTTCAGATGATGGCGTAGTTTAGTCTTGTAGGTTGAGCAAACGGAGAATCCAGAGGAAACGATCAATTTTTGATGGTTGATAATGTTTAAAGTATAACCGGTTATTTCAAGTGTGCAAGGAAAGGGCGCTTCCAAACAGAAACATGGTAGGTGAACTATACTCAGTTTTAACATAGCAGTGGATGCCTTTGTCGAACTTGAAAGGTACAACTCGGGCAATACTTGAAGCACACCAGCGGAATGTAGCATCTTTCAACACGAGCACGATCCTCAAGACACACGACGCTTCGTAACACATGAATCATGCTCACGTTACAGATGACTGAGGGCTCCTGCTGCAGATATATCACTACACTATATCATGCTTTCAGTTGCTTGGGTACAAATCTGACCGAAATCAACAAGAACAGTAAACTGGCCGTCGAATGCCACGATGCGACTCTCCATTCATTTTATTTATCTAGTGTGAGAAACTGACAACATCGAACACGCTTTTGATATTGTGAATGGTAATGTTTTGCACTAGAGAGATAATCAAAATTATATGCCCAGTCCTAATCGGTAATATATTAAAGTATACCGCAAATGCAGTCATCAAATTGCCAAAAGCGTATGCGGCTCTCTATAACAGAGACAAAATGTGTGTGTGTGTGTGTGTGTGTGTGTGTGTGTGTGTGTGTGTGTTATAACAAATGAAGAAAATCACCTAATAATGTAACAATTCCACGATACAATTATTGATTAACATAATCAATCGTATAAACCAATTAGATGTTGATATTAATCTCATTTTTAAAAAGTGATTTATTAGATACTAATTCGAATCGATTACATAAATTCAGTGATCATATACTTCTTAAACAGCTATGCGTTTTGGGTGTGGTGAAAACTTTGTGCTTTGAAAAGCATTAGAATTGCCTAGTTAGGAATTTAATACAAGCATATGGATATTAGGCACAAACAAACCAAATGTTTGTCCCTCCTGGAAATAGTACTACGTTTTGTTATTTTATTTTATTTTTATCTAGGTGGCAAAGTAATTATGACTAGAATGTGCGATATTTATCCATAATCGAAATAAATTATGACGCAATTTCTGGTACAAAACAAAGAAACACATATGAAATATTAAGAATTAATATTAAAAACAGAGTACACTGGGAAATTAAATCGGTTATACCAGTCCAATCCGCTGGTTAACGTCAGTGCAAAGGAGACACAATATCTTAATAGGACGACTCTATCACCTTTAAAACGATGGGGAAAACAGGTAAAGGGAAGTTAAAAAAAAATTATTACGAAAGTCAAAAGAGAAAACAATATTTATACTAAAATAGGATCAAAATATAATAAACGAACATACTGAATCACAAGGAACTGAGAGAGAGAGAGAGAGAGAGAGAGAGAGAGAGAGAGAGAGAGAGAGAGAGAGAGAGAGAGAGAGAGAGAGAGAGAGAGAGAGAGAAAGAGAGAGAGAGAGAGATGTACATCAGTCAAAAGTGCTGTCCTCGGATCATGCTGGAGGATGCTATATATGGAGAAAAAATATTATCATATTATTATACAGGTTCGACAGTTTTTAAAATTGTCTTAAATTGAGATTCAAACCCAGGTCCTCTAGTTATGGCGCCCATCGCCTTGCCTGCATGAACCAACCCATATTCTCTTCACTACATCTGCATCTTCCAAATGGATGAAACATAGTCTCGGATATAGACATTTGTACGTATCATGTACTTTTCAATTTAATTTACCAATTATTTAAGCTTACGAGTCATCCATTTATAGTAAAGCCAATTACAATATGGAAAATAAAGGTCATAAAAGGAATTCGTCAATAATTCACGGAGGTCATGACAAGAATGGATTTTTCAAATTTTCGTTAATTAGGTTCAAAACGGGCTATCAAATACTTGATGAAATGTTGTCACGCTTGTTGGATACCATTCAGTACTCTTCTGTAATACAGCGTTAACAGAGCATATTTGATTAATTTTGAACTCCATTTTAATTTATCAAATTTTACGAAATCAAGCAATAAAAACCCAAAAGGGATAGAAAGTCATTATATTTAAGTGTTTTAGTGATTCCATTGTATTGGTCATGTTAACTTAATAAAGCACTTACAATATGCATATAAACTTAAAAGGCAGCATTTATTTTCAATTATGGTAAAAATATAGATTCTAACTTTCTATGGGATATTTTGAAATTGTATGTTATATTTAAATATCAAAATATATGCAGATATGCATTTCCATTGAATGGGATCGGCGGCAGAGTATCCTATGCGCTCGACTTCACCAATCACTGCCATCTCACCCATATCTGCTAGTGTGTGGGTTCTCGTGGGTTAGTGATTCTTCCTCTACGTTTTATACTGGTCACTATTAATAACCTATAATGTGCTAAAATGGCTTTAAGCCACGAGCAACAACATACGTATGTATGTATGTATGTATGTATGTATGTATGTATGTATGTATGTATGTATGTATGTATGTATGTATGTATGTATGTATGTATATGGGATTTTGGATTTTTTTATGTAGCATTAACAATTTGTCAGTCATATCACTACGATGTCGGCAGTGTGACAGTTTATAGTGATGTCTAGCACTCATGCATTATGTAGCAGACATGTAGCATGATGTCACACCCAGTCATATTATCCTGAAAACAGGCCGACCAGTCCTAACACTAACCTCTTAATTCTGAGCGCCATGCGAGGCAGCTGTTAGTATCATTTTTAGAAGTCTTTGATATGACTCGGATGGGATTTGAACCCGCGATCTACCACATCCGAGGGGGTACGCTCTAACCACTATGCCACTGGATCGTGTATGTATGTATGTATGTATGTATGTATGTATGTATGTATGTATGTATGTATGTATGTATGTATGTATGTATGTATGTATGTATGAATGTATGTATGTATGTATGTATGTATGTATGTATGTATGTATGTATGAATGTATGTATGTATGTATGTATGTATGTATGTATGTATGTATGTATGTATGTATGTATGTATGTATGTATGTATGTATGTATGTATGTATGTATGTATGTATGTATGTATGTATGTAATTTAATTACTGATGTATTAGTTTTAATTATTAATTTTATTTTATTTCATTACATGCTATTGTAATGATAACTTTATTCACTGGATGTGACATTTTCCTAGAAAATTCAGTTCAGTTCTGTTAAACCTGATAAACAAGGATTAGGAAACATTGTATTTTTGGTGATCTAGATTCGCAGCAAATTTCAAGATTGGTGTTAAAATTTTTATTTTTATTTTAGTAAGATTCGTTCAGAAGAGTCGAATCAGTAGATGACGTACGTGATGGTTGGCATATAATGTTTCTAAGTGGCTTGAAAAAAAGTGATCACGTGACCATATCATGTGATCCATTTTGCATTTTAGTTGGCTTAAAACACATGTTATTATTGTGAATTTGGCCAGTCTTGCATTTAAACTTTGGAGCTCAATGGTGTTTTTGTTGTGACCATTTAAGTTGAACTTTTTTATTTAAAGTAATTTATTTTCCCTGGAGATTTTTAGTGCTCATCAGAATTCTTGGGCAAAGACATTTATTGGAAATTATTCGGAATTCTAAATTGGAATATTATTCTTGGTGATTCAACAAGGAACCATTGACACATCAGGACAAAGCAGTTTATTGAAGACGTCATCGCCTTCCATCTTGGATCTTCATCGGGATTCGACCTGTGATTCACTTAGGACTTTTATTAATAGGACTTACATTTATTATTTCTATGATTAATTTTGGATTAGTTTCATAAATCGTAAATCCATTGTCATGTTTACCTTGTTTTTCACTGGAAATAAATTATTTTGTTTAATTTTACAAAGCTTGTTGGTTTCGCTCTTTTATTTGTTACTTTCGTATGAGCCTAGACACGTATGTATGTATGTATGTATGTATGTATGTATGTATGTATGTATGTATGTATGTATGTATGTATGTATGTATGTATGTATGTATGTATGTATGTATGTATGTATGTATGTATGTATGTATGTATGTATGTATGTATGTATGTATGTATGTATGTATGTATGTATGTATGTATGTATGTACCTACGTACGTACATATGAATGATTTATGGCACATCAGCGCAAAAGTGGATATTAAGTGCCAACAAAAAGTTAGGTTTTAAAATGTAAATCAAAAGACATAAAATGTAGGAAGATAAAACTGTCCCAAAAATGTAGCATTAAAATAAAGATAACATAAAAATTAAAGGTTTTAAAATTTTGTAAAATGTACACTGTATAAAATAACAGATACATGTAATACATACGACATCCTTAAAACTGGACGAAACATTTAGTGCACGATAAGGTATGATTATAGACACTTGGACGCATGTTCTTAAAGAATTACATGAAATATAAATAAAATTGAATAAGAAAGCATATTATTACGTGACAAGGATTCGTATTCAGTAACAAAGAAAAGAGTGAAAGCCAACAAGCTTCGTATATTTTAACAAAACCATTTATTTCCTAGACAACAATATAAAAATTGGTAAATAGGACTTACCGTTTGTGAATATATTCTAAATTTGATTTTAAGATTGAAAACATAGGTCCTATTACTAAATAGTCCTATAAGAATCCAGGTCTGAGTCCCAACGATCTACAAATATGGAAGGCGATGACATCAGATGTAGTCCAATATACGAATAAGAAAAATTCCTCACTTGAATCCAGTCTTTGTTTTCGAAGATTTTCCAGATTACATTTCCACGAATATCTTTCAGAATTTTTTTTAATGAAAATGTAAACATGTTGAGTCTCCAGGGGAATAAATTATTAAATCCAAACATCAGACGAAGAAAAAATAATCATAGCAACAAGTTAAAAAATACACCTTGTTCCTTCAAGGTTTTGAATGACTGTCTGAAAAAATATTAGGATTGCGTATTTAGAACCACGATGCCTCATTTGAAGTCTCGGGAGATTGGTCAAGTGGTCTCTTGCTACACTATTTTTGTCACGTCCGCTAGTATGAACCTACTTAAAAACCAATCATAAAAAGGTTGTTTGCAACAGTGATCACGAGAAGAAAGTATGATACTGACCAATCATTTTAATTTCCTGTTGACACTATTAGCAGGGTAAGACGGACTCAGTGATAATTCTCACGTATTACATCTTCATCTGGAATAAACAAATTTTGTGATAAAAATATGTCATTATTAAAAAAGAATCCAGACTCAGAGAAAAATATTCATTACAATTAAATACAATGAAACAAAAATGAAATAAAAAGAATTTTAAACCATGCACAAAATCAATTTAATCACATATGCGTAACAATATAAAACGTACATAACTATTGAATGGAGATAAAACTGTAATCATGTTGTAAACTCATATATGTTCATTTCTCCAAGCAATAATAGAACAATCATACAAACAAAGAAATCCACACAAGGAATGACAAATTTAAACAGGAGACAAAGATTGAGAAGTTACCTATATTCGATTTCATGTAGCATAGAGAAACTAAAACTACTTACTTATGAATGGCGTAAACAGCCGCGAATGCGTTTGGTTAACGAACAGATTATTGAAGTATTTCGTCAGGCTGTATCCAAAATTCATAATATTCAAGAAACATTTTAGATAGATAGATAGATAGATAGATAGATAGATAGATAGATAGATAGATAGATAGATAGATAGATAGATAGATAGATAGATAGATAGATAGATAGATAGATAGATAGATAGATAGATAGATAGATAGATAGATAGATAGATAGATAGATAGATAGATAGATAGATAGATAGATAGATAGATAGGCAGGCAGGCAGGCAGGCAGGCAGGCAGGCAGGCAGGCAGGCAGGCAGGCAGGCAGGCAGATAGATAGATAGATAGATAGATAGATAGATAGATAGATAGATAGATAGATAGATAGATAGATAGATAGGCAGGCAGGCAGGCAGGCAGGCAGACAGACAGACAGACAGACAGACAGACAGATAGATAGATAGATAGATAGATAGATAGATAGATAGATAGATAGATAGATAGATAGATAGATAGATAGATAGATAGATAGATAGATAGATAGATATTACAGCATTGGTAACATTAATCTTTTTTGTTGGTGTCATTAATTGATTGATCGAAACTGATAACCTATGTATACTGAATCTGCAATTTGATTAAATTCAGATTTCCACTTTAGACGTGACAGCGAACGCTTAGTGATCATGTTCTGGTGACTATTGTTATCACCATATCAGCTAATTGTATCATTTAATCAGATGTGGAATTAGTCTATTTGACTTTAACTTATATTTCATATAACTACATGTCAGGTCTCTGTCGTTTTCTTTTTTAAACGCACAGGTTTTTTTTAGATGTAAGATATAAGATATTTCTTATCTACTGGTTTTAATTAGGAGTTGTATATATTATACCTTTTTAAATTTGTCTGATTAGAAGTGGGGTAAATAATACCTCGTGAGAAACATAAAAATGATTAGCGAGACAATATGTGCGGTGACTTCAAACCTTACACCTTATCTGTTAATGTTCCACTTAAATAAATCCAAGTATAAACTCTTTAAGTAAAAGAATGACAACTGGCCAGACCGTTCAATATTTGATTTACAACATAAAGTGTACACATTCCATTATTTGTTCAAGTGAATGATTATAGCGAGAACACTTTGAAGTGATATATCTTGTGCTGTACATGCAATACTGTACTAATGTCAAGCTTGTTTTCAAGTCAACGTTAGAGTTTGATTAATCACTGAATCGGTGAGAATTTAAAACTTAAGATTTGGATTTCCTTGTTATCGTCTGTATTCATTTATAAGTCGAATCACACTGCAAATAACAAAAACCTGCTCTTACCATAGCATAAAGCGCATGCTGATCACGGCCTACAATATTTGACCTACTTATTACCCTTAAAAAAACAACACAGCCCCAAATTTGCCAAATCTGCGTGCGCACTATGCGACAACATATCTGGGTCTGTGCAGTTTGCTGTTGGATTCGTCTCACAAACGAATAAGGAAGGTATTTGATAGATCATCAACTTCGGTTGTTTAGATACCGACAAAACTGTTTTGTTCTATTATACATTTGTAATGTGCTTGCTATGTTTAAAAATCATCATACATTCTCACTAAAACAAGCTTCAACATAATTAATTATCTCTGATAAAAAAAGAAATATCACTGTGGTAACGGTGGATCACTGTGGTAACGGTGGCTATGTGCAAGGACTCATTATATCACATTATTTATTACGTTAATCATATAATAATTGGAGAGTTAGACTATATATATATATATATATATATATATATATATATATATATATATATATATATATATATATATATATACATATACAATATATATATATATATATACACACACACACACACTTAATATCAAAATGTTTAAGTGAACAAGTGTTTAAGTTCGAACAAATTTTTGACATTTATTGTAACAAGCTCTGAAGAGTTATTCCCCTTATAAAGCGCGGCAAAACTTGTGTGTAAAATTTCCACAACAAACATACATCATGTCTCTGATAATAACTATAGAAGTTGTTAGCATTTCAGATGACTATTACAACCCTCAAGTCTTAAAAAAGTAACATAAAAGAGTATGAAGTAACAATCTTTTCAAAAGTCAGAAAATAATTTATTTCCCTAAAATATAAAGTAAAAATGTTAAAAGAAAACGCTATATCACTTAATGGAAAATTTCCCTCAGGAAGGTTTTAAAAGTTAAGATAAAATGTTAGTTATAATTAAAAAATGTT